AAAAAAAGAAAAAAAAGAAGAAGAAGAAGAGAAAAACCGGATTTTGTGAGGCAGAAAGTATCCCAGACGCTTGGTTGTCTACCACCTTCAAGCACAGCACCTTCAATCTATGTGAAACAAGAAAATTATACTCAAATGTTAAATTTTAATTTCACATGGCCATATCTCTGAAAATGAATGGCAAATAGTATATTTGTAAGTACATTTTAGTTTGAGTTTATTGTTTTTCTAATATTTATTCCCAATAATATTAATGCTATTTGATACTGTAATTGTCTTAAACTTACAAGCTACTTCAAACCATCCACGCTCATATATATATATATAAAGGGTGTCCAACTAAAACTTGTCATATAGTAGTATAGTATCTTAAATAATTCCATAAAGAAGGGGTGTCCATGGACCCCTTTACTTGTCTATGAATTCTCCCTTGATTTCAAGTCTCTTACATAAATGGTTACAATGGTTTTAAACCAATTATATTGCACGAGTCATTTACTAGTGTAGACACTGTTAATTAGCATATAGTACTACTATTTTTTGTAAAACTGTTTGTATTATTTCATAGAAAATTATCACAATCAAATGGTATAAGACATTAAGTCATATGAGTGGCAGTACCTATATGATATTATCACTCTCTGATTCATGATTTCTATTTATATATTAACCCTTTTACACCTTACACACTCCTATATATTAAATTTAATTAGAAGGATTCATTCATAGGAAATTATCACAAATATCACAATAACACCACATAATATTTTTAAAAATATAGAAATATAATATGATACCTGATATGCAGAAGTGGCAGTACCCCAAACAAAACCAGGTTCGAAATCGGCACTAGTTATGTCATTGGGGAAAGAGTACTTCCTTCCTTTCTGTAGAGTTGCTTCCATATCTTTGGTCTTTGGATGAAAGTTTTTTAAGTTTTCAGCTGTGAAGTGGATTGTGGATTTGCCCTCTTATTTATAGACAAAAAAAATGCTGCATCTTTATCAAACTCCAACAATTTATTTTATAAAAATGATTTAATTAATTCAAAATTTAAATACCTAAAGGTTATTAATAATATTTGCTTCAAATCGTGTTTCACGATTTCATTATAAAAAAAACCCAGATTCCTAGCTCTTGAATCACGTGAAATTTAATATTTTTTACAACGTGACGGATTTTAATGAAAAAATTAATAATTCATTAGATGTCTAAAATAAGTTTTTAATTCAGATAACATACTTAAGATCTCTCTACCACAATTAAAAGTATAAACAATCACATACAGATTCCACGGCTTATTATTACCTTTGGAATACCATCTTTATACATAAACTCGGATTGAATATGAAACAAAGGTGATAGGGAGGTTTGAACACAAGCTCACGAATATTGATCTTTAAAATACCTCTACCACATACATATAGCGGATAGACCCACAATAATGCATCTGATATCATAGAAATACTTGACTTTTTTCTTGTTGGAGAAATTTGTGACTATGAGAGTTGAATGCTATAATTGAAAAAAGAATAAAACTAAAACGCTAAAATCAACATTAACATTAGAGTTTAACATTATAATCAAAATTAAAATGAAAGTTGAGCTACAAGTGACATTAAGATAAGTGTAAAATGATGTAATTCACATTCAAATTAAAAAAAAAAAAAAAAAAAAA